ACATAGGAGATTCCTCATTCTAATGATCATTTGAGCTTCATTCGGTGTGTCGTATTTCTTTTTCATGCTCTTTATAATATCTTTGACACATATGGAATTCTCATACGCCTTAACAAGGGAATCACTCATGGTTGTAAAAATAATATTCATGGCACTTTGGTTTTTGTTACGCCATGTCTCATATGCATCCTTACTTTTCATTGATTGTGGGCGAATTAGGTGGTCTAGAAGTCAATAATAGCAATAGACCATCTTCATGAAAGACATAACCAATTTTCCTTCTTCCTTTGGAGAAGTTGGTTCTATTGAACCTCTCATCCTTAAAAAATTCGGTGGGTATCAAACGGGCTACCATAGGTAGTTGATACCAATTGATAGTGGATACAAAGACTAGAGCAAATTTCCAAGCCAAAAGACAAGGCAAAATGAACACCTTCAATAAGCCACTTACTAAACACCAAGCTAAGTAAATAAGTTACAATCTTTTAAATAACAATTACAACCATTTATAGCCTTGTATAACCACTATAAATAAACTCAAATACCAGCCTCTTATGGGGCAATTACATATAAGGCAAGACTAGCATATTAAATGCACTTTCATAACACAAATTACATAAACTATGTCCCAAAGTTTAAATACATCATGCAACTAATCTAAACAAAATTATAAGGAATACAATCAACTAAACAAGGAATTAGAATACCAAATAAAAATAGGGAAGCTATGTTTCGAACCTCTTGTGTAGAGGCCACGGAATCAGGCCATATTACGACTTAATTTTGTCCATTTGGATTGTACAAAAGTGGTTTAATGTGAGAAGAGTGTCTAATCCAAATGGGAAGCAATTAGACACTTTAAAATCACTTCTTAAGATCTCAACACACTGACATTATCATCTAAAACAAAATGCAAAAGGTTTGAATCGAATGAGATAAAGACCAAGAGAGTTATAACCAAACTATACACGGTAGTACCTCGGACCACCAAAACAGTCTTGAATGGAAAGATTATAAACCCCCATAGGTAAAAACGTGATGAAAAAGTTATGGAAATTGAGTGACACTCTGAGACTAAATTATTTGATGGATTTGAAGCAAAGTAAGCAATGGATAGTACGCATGATCATGGATTCTCATGCATATAGGTTATAACTCATGAAAAATATGATCAAACGGGGATTCTAAGATCAATGAAACTTTTATAAATTCAAAACTTCAGATACTATAGATACCGAGAATATGAAGTTATGATAAAAGAAAATTCAATGGAGTTTACCTTGATAAATGTACAGTATGAACTTAAGCATAAGAAATGAGGACTACCATCAAGATCACCATTAGTGGAACTCTAAAAAGCTCTATCACTTCAATTTTCTCTCACAAAACCTTAGAAGAAGGAGGGAAGCAACAATTTTTCAAAATGGTTCAAGTGTTGAAATAGTTAGGGTTTGAGATCTCATGATGTATTTTTATAACATGGGTGTAACCTTGGACTCAATCAATACCCTTTATGCACTAATCCAAAGGCACATGAGAGGCTAATGTACCTAGCCACCCATCTCCATCCAACTACTAGGATGAAGGGTTGTGATTTCACACCATTATCACTCACCTTAACCCTAAGTTATGCCACTTTACCATTTTTTCCTTGGACCATGTTTTTGTTCTAATTGTATCCAATATGGCCTCACAAAAATACTTTTTAGTTTTTTTAATAATGTATTAGACTAGATAACCACAAAGGCTAAAGGGAAACGAAGTAATTGACAAAGCTCACTCATATGGAGATATTCTACTTTATCAAAGCCAATCATTTTGTAGATCTAAAATTTCAAACCAATCAATTTAAAGATAATGTCTCCTTAACACATGTATGTGAAGATAATTTTCAACTCAAAATTGAAAATACATTTTCTCTTTAATATCAAATAAATAAATTAATTAAACTTCACACATTCCATGCATGACCCATGTATGAGTTAATTAAGACGTGATAAAAAGATGACCTTAATTTATAACATTATATAAAAAAATATAACAATATATAACAAGACACTATAACACAACCCCTTATAAAACAAGCAACCAAATGCCAATCTAGTTCCCTACCTAAGGATCAATGCCCAGATGGACGGTGATCCTAGAGTGAGGCGTGGGATGCCACGTGGTAGCCCTATGGCCATTCGGAAGCCACATGACACTACCAGGTTAGGACTAAAATGGAATTTGAGTCAAACAATTTGAAAACCCTCATTTATTTAGCAAATAAAATTTTGAAAAATTCTCTAAAATTCACAATAAATATTTAAATTATTTTTGAGAAATTATTAGCTTTTTTTCATCATTATAAAATTGGAAAAAATGTATATTGAGATCTTAGGCTAATAACTATAAGTATTAGAGTACTCTATTGGGCTAATCCCAAATGATGTTCTGTCAAGTTTCAGATCGACTCGATAGACCTATATTCCACAGTCTAAAACATAGATAGATAATTGGCCATATCAAAGACGCTGAGCCAGAACTTTCGATCATTCTGCTCTCAATGGATTACAGGTGTACTCATCTAGGGCATGATCTAACTCAATTATATGGTCTTCTCAAAGCACATGTGCACTGGCTCTTCCAAACTCGAATAATGCATTTGGAAGAGTGGCTTTTTGCACGAAATGAAAATGCACATGCCTTACAATGGTCTTGTGTCAGGATACAGATTTATGTCCCATAAGTATTGACTATTCCATATAGGGCGAATACTCAATAAGTACTCCGGTTCTATTTTTCTTGTTTGGATTCTCCAAGCCCTGCCCAATTGCAGCTAAACATGAGGCTAACCTATAAAATCCTATTTAGGAGGTGACCCTCATACCTCCTAGAGAAATTGTTTTCTCAACACGTGAACTCTCGATGCTTCATGCGTACTCGAGGTAAATAAATTTGGGCTCCTTTTCGCAAGATGCCAAAGTTTCAATCTCTCAATCGCTCCCACTGAATGAGAGACTACTGAAATTTAGGTCCTTATAGGCCATATTTCCGACAACTACATTAATTAGTTTCATTTTTTTGCATCAATATACGAATATTGAGATGTTCGTTCTCTGTATGTACTAATGTTAATTATTAAATTTACACCACACAAAAGTAGAAGCATAGAATTATCATGGATGAAGTATATAATCATGCATGGATAATTCGTAAAATATGACCTAATACCAAAATGAAAGACGAGGCTATCAAAGTTAATTGTCGATAAATTAATGACATAAGCATAATGACATCAATAGCAAAAATTCACCTGTCCAAGCAAGAGTTAAGCCAAAACACAACCAGTTCCCCTCTAAGATCGTTCAGTTCCACGTTTTATGCTAGAATCGGCACGGGATCATCGATTCTCAGGTCGAATTGGCCGATTCCGTGATGACTCGTCAAGTTTTCAATCCTTGCATAATTTATAAGAAAAAAAATGATAAAAAATAAATGTGTAATTTATAATGCAAACAAGTTAGTAAATAAAATACAAAATTTTATTATCAATGTATAATTATATATTATAATATTATAATAAATATGATAAAAATTTATTAAAATACTATTGAATGCATAATTTATATAATGCAAACAAGTTAGTAAATAAAATGCAAAATTGGTTATCAATATATAATTATTAATTATAATATTATAATAAATATGATAAAAAATTATTGAAATACTATTGAAATTCTATTGAATATGCACAATAATAAGGTTTACATATAAGGAAGGTTTTAAAATTCTATTGAATATGCACCAATAATAAAGTTTAAAAATACGTATAGATACATGGTGCCTTAAATAGTATTTCAAAGCCTCTAATAAATGCGTACAATGTAAATGGTCATGTGTTTAAGCTCTTGGAATAAATGGTCACGTGTTAACAATGTGTAAATACGGTAGTGGAATAAATGGTCACGCGTTAACAATGTCTAAATATGGTCTAAATATGGTCATGTGTTAACGTTCTAGACTCTAAATGCATGGTGCCCAACAACAGTGTTTCACATTGAACAATTGCGGGACTACAAACCACTATAAAAGTAATTCAACCATCGTGAGGTACTTGCGTGCCACGTAAAGCATGCGGTGGTTATTTGACTTATGGTGGGGTGGGGCCACATGCATTCAGTATACCATTTTTAAAATAAGGGCAAGCTTTGTATGTTCTCCCTACAGCATAGAACTTTTATCCTCCGCTTACCATCCAACCTTCCAATTTTGATCAAGAGAGCCACCCATCGTTTGAAGTTAGATCCGACGTTTCAAACTACTTTACTTTTAGTTTTTTTTATACAAATTATATAAATATAAAATTTGGTACGTGCTATCTTTTCATTGGGGAGCACCTATAAAAAATATTAAAAATAATTTTTTGATAAAATAAAAACCAAAATACCTCTTGAAACTTTCAAGGATATTTTCATCATTTTATTTTATTGAAAATATTTTTTTTATATTTTTTGCTAGTGCGAGTTTAATAGAGGAATGGACCTCCAAAATTTGGTGTCAAAACAATTTATAGAAAAAAAATTTAAAATAAAATAATATAGAGAAGTGATATTGTGATTGAAACAATCTTAGCCGCCTATTCAAAATGAACGGTTGTATAAAGTGGAAGATAGAACTTTTATGCTATAGAAAAAACGTAAAAACCTTTCTCATAAAATATTATGCAGAGCTATCTGATTTTCACCCCAATGTGTCCTTTATAACATTAGTATACCATTTTTAAAATAAACGGTACCGTTTGATTTTCACCCGGACTCATGGATGTGTCGTTTATGACGTCAGTTCCGCCGATAAACGGACCATTATGTACTTTACCTAAAATTTTAGAGTCCTCATGTAAATCACTTTTTAATTTATCAAATAACACTTCGTTTAATTTATCAGAAGGAATCACACTGCTGGCATGAACGCATGAAAATACTCTGCACACCGAAACCGTGATTAAGGCCACGATACAAGTTGTGTCACCTAACCCATTTTCATATTCCCATAAACTCAAAAAAAATTTAAAAAGCCAAAATTAAAAAAATAAAATAAAAGTAGAGGGCCTTCAGATAATAGAATTGACCCTGAACATTCATCGTTGGTTCACTCTTTTTCAATTCTCCATTTTCTCATATTATTCAGGCTTATAGAGCTTCCCCATCAAGAAATTTCTTTCTTTTTTATATGGGTCCAAGCTTGATCAAATATCAAATTTCCAAAAATTTCTTCACGATTTTCACAGTGGGCTGGACCACCATCTCCTCCCATATATCTGCGACCACCCTGCTGGAAACCGGCGACGACAGGGCTGAATCCTGGGAGGACACACCGGAATGTGCCAAACACCCGCTAAAGAACACCTCGGTCGCGTCGATCCTATGCAGCTTCCATCCGCTTTCTTCGAGCCCTACTATCCTCTCTCTCTGTTTCTTTGCGAGCTCGCATGTGTTCGACTTGATGGCACTCACCGCCTTGTCGAACAACCTCTTTCTCTCCTCAGCCATGCTCAATTCCTGGCCAGAACCAGGTGGAAAGCACTGAAGGAACATGTCGAATTCAGGCACTCCAATGGCCTTCCGTACACCCTGACTGTAATTTGCTCCTGGCTCGTAGAATTTTGCAACCTCCTCAAAGAGGCCAGCATCCAGCATCTCATCAACTCTCCGAGAAACCCACTCATAAAGCACTGGCATTTTAACATCAACCCAAATAAAGCAACAGTCGTACCGGAAAGCAAGCCGGTTTAAGTCGTTCTCAGTCTTCTGCCGTAACAGCTCAATGCATGCAGACTCATCCGATGCCGGCAGTGGCACCTCTTCCACAAGGGCCTGGATGTAGGAGTTAGAGCCCCCAACAAGTATCGGGATCCGCCCGCGCTCCGTCACAGAGGCAATGACCTCTGAGGCGAGGCTTCGGAAGTTGTCGGCCGAGACCTCGCCGTCTCGGTCGTCAAACTCCCCAAGCAGATGGTGCCGAACACCCCGTCTGTCCTCGACAGAGACCTTGTTCGTGGCGATGTCGAGGCCCTTGTAGAATTGCATTTTGTCACAATTTATAATCTCGGCAGAGAAGCGGGTGGCAAGGTCCAAGGACAACTTGGTTTTGCCAGTGCCAGTAGGACCCATGATCACCACCAGAGGTTCTTTCTGAGAGCGGGCTGAGAAGGCTTCCATGGGTGAAACGCGACAGAGGAGGTTTCGAGAGTGGAGGGAGGGTGGAGAAGAGAGGGAGGGGGTGGTCCCCCTCCTAATACCCGAGAGCGGATAGACACGAATAAGGGCCATAAATGGGCCGAGTTATTACAGGCATAAACTTATTAGCAAAGCGTGGCAAGGTGGCGCACATGGCCGTGAAATTTTTACATAGATATTTAGACGCTCTCCCCACCCCTTTTTTAGAGGGTAATAACTCTATTGAAATAACTTATTTAAAACTCGGACCGAACCGGGCCACATAAATAACAGACCGCGCTTCATATTGAAATAAGGAAATGATGATGTGTAATTTTTAAGGAAGGAGGATATTTGACAGCTGCAGAAAGTGTATTTATGGCATTGAAAAACCTTCTAATTCATCCCCTAGGTTTTGATTGTTGCAAATTTCAAGTCTTAAAAATATTGTATATTGCAATACATTATTTGAACGGTCTATTTCGCCATGAAAATAGATGTTAATGGATCTACAAGATCTATACCTTTTTTTTATCTTGTAATTATATAACTAGTGTAGGAAATTGATTTTAGAGTTATCATGGAGATTTTGGATATCCAAAGTGCTTTCTAGAGGCTTTACTTTATTTTATAAAGCGTAAGCAAAAACTACATCCTTTAAGGGTGTGGTTTCTATAAAGTTGCAACCTTAAACAATTCAATTAAGGCGCACCTCCAAATTTTATCATAACATGTAATTTTCATGTAAAATATTGATTATCTCAAAATCTATTTTCATATCTAATTATAAAATTTTAAACTAAAAAAATGGTCAAAATCAATTAGATCTATAAACATACGAAAATCTTAAAAATTTGGACGATCTAGATAATGTATTGTAAAATGTACTATTTTTGAAACTCAAAATGTTTTTTTTTTTTTTTTCATATTCATACATCTCGATGTCAAGATGATCAATTAGAGGTTTTTTCAACATTCCAACAGCCTTTTCCGATGGATTTTTGAGGTGCATATGTAATTCTACATTTTAAGGTTGCAACCTTATATAAACTTCTTCCTAAATATATTTAGTTTTGGATTATATTTAGATTTAGATCATATAAACTTTAGATTTAGATTATAGATGTAGATAAACTTTATATTTAGATAAAGAAAATTATTTCATGCGGGCTCGACCACATTTCTACATTTGCATATAAGATTTAGATTATATATTTAGATAAGATTTAGATTTAGATAAGATTTAGATTATTGAATTAGATACACTTTAGATTTGGATATATAAATTTAGATTTAGATTTATACTTGCATCATATAAGGTTGCAACCTTATTTAGATGTAGATTTATATTTAGATTTAGATTATATTTAGATTTAGATTATATGAAAGGGAAAATTACAAGTAACCTTCAAGACTAGACTTTCTCTTATCCCCAACAAAACTTCTTTTCTCACTTTTTACCCAAAAATGGACTTTCTTAACAAATACCCCCCAACTCAAAAAAATAAATGAAAACGATTAAACTACCCTCCCTTACTTTTACCCACACCTCTCTCTGCTCTTTCCCACGAAAAGGTGGTCCAGCATATTCTTAGGCTGGTCAGGCAGTATAATGTCGATCCAGTAAATAATATTGGCGATCTGACAGTACAAGTGGCGGTCCGGCAATGATAAAGAGTGGTTCGACAATAGGCTCATGTGGTCCAGCACTGCCAAAGAGCGGTCTGACAATATGCCCATGTGGTCTGGCATCGGGCCCATGTGGTATGGCAACAGGCCCAAAGTACGGTCCAGTAATGTCAAAGAGGGGTTCATCACTTCAAGTATTTCAAAGATCGGTTCAACAGCCCATGTAAGCTCACGTGAATGTCCAGTCAAAATTAAAATTTTGTGTACGAAAAGGGTATTTTAGACAAAAAATGTACGTTTTTTTACTTGGGGGTATTTGCTAACAAAGTGTCTTTTGGGGGAAAAAGTGAGAAACAACTTTGGTTGGAAGGTAATTTGCATAGAAAGTTTAGTGTTGGGGGTTATTTGTAATTTTTCCAATATTATATGTGACCCCATTCTCAACCATCATATCTAAGTTGATGGCTAAGATGGCTTGAATCACATTGTCATAAATTGGCTTTTCACCATCACATCTTGATAAGATAGCTTAAAGTTTTTTAATTTTTAATTTTTATTCTATAAATTATTTTAAAGCAAAATTTGGGGTATACATAGATTTGATAGGGGAACACATGATAAAAATAATTAAAAAATATTTTCAATGATGAAAAATTACCAGAATACCCCTAAAAATTTCAGGGGAATTTTAATAATTTTTTTTACAAAAAATATTTATTTTGTATATTTTCCCAGGTTCGCCCTAATTTTATTATGGGATATCTAAAATTTCATCCAAAAATAGTTTGTAGAAAATAATGAAAAATAAAATAGCTTTTAGTGTGACATTGGGGTTTGAATAATCGTAGCCATTCGATTCAGATTGAAGAGCTAAGAAGTGAGGTCACATATAACTTAAATATTATTGGGGCCATATAGAAGCATTTCCATATATATATATATATATATATATATATATATGGGAGTGAATTTTGTCAGCCCACGGGCTAACAGCTATAGTATTAGCCAATGGCCCAGATTCAATCTGGGCTGATCGAACGGTTACAATCTCATTTCATATTTGAATTTTAATATTTTTTTTACAAATCCAAATCACTTGAAATTTTAGAGATCCATTCTTCTTATCAAGGCGCACCTAATAAAAGTATAAAAATAATATTTTGTAAAATATAAATAGACCAAAATACCCTCAAAATGTTTCAGAGGTATTTTGGTCAATTTATATTTTACGAATTATTGTTTTTATATTTTTATTAGATTCTTCTATTTTTGAAGAATAGATACTTCAAATTTCAAATGATTTGGATTTGTAGAAAAAAATAAAAATTTTAACATAAAATAAGGTCATGATCGTCAGATCGATCCATATATATATATATATATATATATATAGTGGGCACTGCTGCATCTTGGAGAAGAAGTATGCAATAATCACATAGTTTAATGCATCTCTTTCTCTCAAACACACATACCTCCAACTGCATTTCTCTCTTCCAACATTGGCTACTCTTCCCCTCATTCTGTCTCTCATAATACATAAATTCACATAGAGAGATTGCACTCTCACAAGGTGATGGAATAATATCAACTTTAGGACTGAGGTTCAATTTAAACGAATTCGACTACTATTGATGCAGAATGTGCAAGAAACCGTGGTCGGGCACGGTACCTGGCCTTGGGCCAGTCCGAGTAACCTAGACTCTGTCTGAGTGACTCGGCCTGCATCGAGCAAGTACCAACCATGCTAAAAAGTGTTAAAAAATTTTAAAAAATCCAAAACAACAATGGAAATATGCTTAAAGTAAAAAAAAAACAAAACTAAACAAAACACGAGGTTAAAAAAATTGTGAAAAAATAAATTTTGAAACTTCAATTAAGAAAGGGGCATGCCCCACCTAGAGGTTTATCTCTATCTCATATCTCTAAGGTTAAGCCAATGATGTTTAAGGTACGCTAAGGCATTGATGCCTTAATAATTTAGTTTTAGATTGAGATCTATATGTGTTTGAGAGGGTTTTGCCGTATTTAGTAGAATCAAAAGACCGCTCATTGATCCCGAGCACTATTGGAAGGAGTAGGCTCATTTGGTGAATCAAAGATTTTTCTGAATCTACAATGTTTAGCCAAGTTTTATATAGAAAAAAAATCATGGTTAGGTGAAAAATCCTTGTGGGTGTTTTTTCACGTATTGGACTGGGGTAGTCTTCATAAAACCGGCATGTTAGAATCGGAACCAGCCGGTTAGATCGCTACCAGCAAGGTGGCGACTCTGGTTAGGGCTGGTTTTGGTGGTCTACTCAATAGCTGGGGGAGCTCCAAAAATTTTGCGTACAAAAATAGGCCGGTTAGCCCCTGAACCGACGGTTTTTTTGCAAAACCGGCAAGTTTCTGCTAACCGAACCGGTTAACCTATATAACGCCTGATATAACATAAATAACGATAGAGTAGTAACAATTGTTATTTCCAAATTGAGGCCGGTATTTGTAGCAGGCATTCTTGAATCCAAATTTTCAAAATTTTTGATCCGTTTTCGTGCCTTTTTTTTGTGTGTCCTTTTTCGTGTTTATTGCTGTAAATCACTATATATAATCTATAAAAAAAGAAATTTGGATTGAAACATCGAAAAAAAAAAGAGTTTGTTGATCGAAATGATGGATTTTTTAGGTTTTTGAAAATTTCCACCATTCTTTCAATAATTTGTTCAATCCCTAATGGTTATTGAAGAAATTTGGTGGTTTTGATAGATAATTGAATTATTCATCAGATTTATGTTTCAATTTGTACAGAAAACTAAATATTATGGGTTGATTTCGGCCCGAAATGCTGTTGCTCAAAGAACCTGTATTCGATCAAAAAACACATATTTTTGATCTATTTATTGGTCGTTTTTTATTAAATTGAGTTGTGGATTTTTAGGATCAATGCTTGATCTCTCAAATAAAATAGGTATGCCTATTTATGATTGATTAAATGTTTTTATATGAATTTTTTCGTTGCACCATATCATGAAAATTTCATAGATCTGAAATTACCGCCTTTTTTCAATTAAATTAAAAATACCAAATATCTTTTGCTGAGATTTGGTGCGTTTGAAAGATGATCGAAGCCTTTACAATGCATGTATGTTTATTTGTTTGATTATCCAATTATTGAGGGTCGTTTTTTGCTCGAAATGTTGCTTGATTTTTGGGGTTTTTGGAAAATCGATTTTTCTAAACAAATATTTTATTTAATAAAATTATGTTGTTTGATGAATATGGGAAGTGTTTTTCTATTTTGCTTATTAAAATTATTTTTAATAGAATTATATTTTTTTAATAAAATTACATTTTTTGATGAATATGGGAAGTATTTTTCTATTTTGCTTAATAAAATTATTTTTAATAGAATT